GCAGAAACTATAATAATTTATGACAATCCTTGACAGTTGTGAGAATCACTAGTTCATGGAGAATATTTCTTTTTTGCTTATAGACATGAATATAAGAAGGAGAAAGAGACAAGGCATCTTAAATTTGATCCTGTTCTTTACTTCATCAGATAAATAGATCTTCACTAGTTTAAGATTTTAAAAATAACTGCAATCATCATAGTTTGTAGTGAAGCAATAAAATTCTCATTGGGTCTTTTCTGATGCTTTAAATTACTGCTAGAAGAGGTACTAGTGGCCATTTTGCATCACGTGATACCAATGGAATGCAATTGAACTTTGCAATTATTAATCAAAGGTCAACCGTGTCATACCTCCTCTGACAGGCCCCTATGTTAGTAAGGCGGAGCCTGCCTCTCGCGGAAAAACGGAGAGTCAGGTTCAGTACGGTAGCTAGTTTTGTGTCACGGGTGGAGCTGACAACATGCATATAGGTGGGGCTGAAAATGAGCACCGCCCATACGCGTGTAAACATGACCGTCGTTGTATGTTTAGGCTGTGGTAAAGACTTAAGCAAAGAGAGCAAAAACAGATGTGATCCAGCAGCAGAAAGGTGCAGAGATGTGATAAATGTTTGGAGGAAGCATTTTATGGACCAAGTTGCCGAGAATGATATTGATTTTGACTTAGACAATAATTACTGAATGGTCAATAAGAGACTTGGAAGAGACATATAACACAAAGACTTTCCATAGCCAGTGGGTAGCACTATGAAAACATCTCTTCCTTCGAGGAAAGCCTTGATAGCTGCCAACTGCTCCTCCTTTAAGACATAGTTCAGCTTTCTAAACACCATTTTCTTTACATCCATTTTAAAATAATTTATGATAATGTTATTCATGTCTTGTGTGGGTGTTATTTGGGTCATTGTGACTCATTTCCTGCTAGCGCAGAAATCCTGCGCTTGACACAAAACTAGCTACCGTACGGGCAAGCCTGAAATCATAGATATTATAGACTACGTAACCGGGATTGGAAACTGATGACGTCACGTGTACAGACTGTGTGATTATTAATGCATGAAATTGCATGAATTTACATCAAAATGGTGAAAATCATGAAGAATTGTTATGTTTGATGAGCCGTATTAATAATATACTGTGATGTAGCTGGTTCTAAGTAGCTTAATCGCATAAAGAAAATACCAGAGATCACGATGGTACCTTTCTCTTCGTGTCTCTATGCTTAGTTCGCTCGGGAGAGGTACAACAGATCGGCCGCTTTTTGGCGTTATTTTGGTGGATTTCTGCTCTCAGTAATATGGCAGGCAGAACTAACCAGTCTATTCTCATGTAGCATGGCCTTGTGCATAGTTTTAATCATAAAATGAAACTGGGGTAGCTAAAGCTTGTTTGCAGGAGGGAGAATAAGACATTTTCTCTTGTCACGGGGAGCGCACTTGCTTTAAACACCTGTTTTTACACAGCTAACACATTTTATTTTTGTATCAAAGAAAAATATAAACATGTGCGTATATTATAAGAGCCCAAGTACAGGTGAAATAGCTTGCGGGACTTCACTAGAGACCATTCTTTCCAGCCATGTCAGGCATTTTCGTCAGCCTCTCACTGTCACAGAGACTGTACCTGAATAGTTAGTTACATTGATTTGAATGGGATCACGTGATCTGTTTCCAATCCCGGTTACGTAGTCTATAATATCTATGCTGAAATGCGGAT